TGTCTATGCAACATATTCAGGAGATGCCTACGAGGCCCAAAGAGGGCATCAGATCCTCTGGAACTAGAGTTATAGACAGGTATGAACTGCCGTGCAGATGCTGGGAATTGAATCCAGGTCCTCTGGAAGAGCAGCCAGTGTTGTTAATCTCTGAGCCGCCTTTCCAGCTCCTGATTTTCCTTTATTCTTTAAGTCTATCTTATTCCAAGTCTTCCTGCCTTCTGGCTTGTACATGTTCTCCTAACTCCCTTTGACCTGGCTAACAACCTCGACAGCTATCAGATCTATCTTGCTTTATAGGGAAATGACACGCTCTCCCGAACGCTCTTCTTCAGGGCCTTTCTACAGACACCGGCTCACAATGATGCTCTTTTGATGACTGTTTTCCTTCAAACCTTTAAGCTCTGAGGTCAGAGACTCATCCCACTCCCAACACAGAGCCAGGCACAGGGTAGTCACAGAAGACATATTTATTAAAGGGCTAAATGAAAGGAGGCATTGTGTTGAGATCTGTTGATGAAAGACAGGGAAAGTGCAGACGGTCCAAGAGAGCAGCTCATCAATCGAGTGGGAGGAGACAAGCAAGGAGAGGAGGAGTAAACAGGACCCAGGGTGGGCTAGCATGAGGAGGTAGCCAGGCCTCCCACAGGGATGCCTGAAGCCAACTCTCTGCCTCCCAAGCTAAGCTCAGTGTGAGTGTCTGTTCACTAACTTTCCATCCTCGGGAACCCCTAGTCACCAGAATCTTGAGCATCCCAGGAATGGTTTGCTGTCCTATACTGTTACATATGCTCAAGAGTCAAGTGGGTACACTTGACAGGCCCTGGTGATCACAGCATTGTGTAGAGGCCGTGGGCCTCGGAAGAGCTCTTCCTGCCTTCACACAGTGACGTCATCGTCTCCTCAGAATCCTCAGACTGACCTGGTGAGGCATCGAAAGGTAACAGGGTTTCTTCTCAATGGACAGTTGGGGACACTGAAGTCAATAGCAATCATTTGACTTGGCTGAGGACTGGGAACAGCTTCGGGAGAGAACTTGGAGAAAACCCAAGGTCCTCTCTACTGCCCAATGGGCAGAGGGCATGATGTACTAGAGCCTGTTCTGCTTATTCACTTTGAGGCCTAGAACATCTTATGCAAATTATGGAACATTCAAGTAGCTGGGCCTCAAGAGATCAGCTGATTAGCTACCCTTTTTGTGCAAGGAAAGAAACGTTAAAGCTTCCCCTCCCTTCCATAACCCTGATGCCAGCTGGTGGAGATTGTTAGCAATCTACCCAAACCTCGCTGGCTCCTCTTGGCCTATGTGTCTAGGCCACATTCCCCAGCTTCCTTCCCAGTTGGGTGAAACCTATTGTCGTGTTCTCCCTAGCGGAATGTGAGAGGAAGTGAGGCACACCCCTCCCGGGCCTGGCTCAGCAGCGGTTCTCCTGCTTACCTCTCCCGCGTTTTCACCTCTGGCTGATTGGAATGCCGAATCCCAAAGCAAAGTTGGAAACCATATACTATAGCATGGTAGAACCAGCGGATTTCATGTCCCTAAAAGACTGTGAGGAAAAAAGCTGCCTCATAGACCTCGACTTCTGTGTGGAAGGTTGTGAACAAGGGGGAAACATCATGGGGGTTAAGCTGCTGAATACTGGAGTCTTGTTTGTTACTGGAAACCAAGGCATGAAAGCCTCTGAACATGCATTGACTCCAGGTAGCATGAGGAGCAGTGATGCTGGATTCCTGCCGACTTCCCTGTCTGGCCCAATAGCCCGTCCTCACTTCTGCTTCTGTAGCCCAAGCCCACAGATCCCTCCAATCTGGCCTGAGCCATTTTCGGTCTAGACCATCAGACTCCCAAGGCCAGAATAGGGCATCTTATAAATCCTCCTGGCCCTAAAGAGAAGTTCTTCTAAGTCATCTGAGATGATCAAGACTCTTGTCTGTATTTTTACATTCTGGAGGAAGTAACACTACTGTTAAGTACCAAACCCCAAAAGGCAGTAACTATAGGATTGCTGATAGCCTTCCTCACACACCTGCCTGCCAGAAAGGTCCATGTCCCTTCACATAAAACTATGTCAGTCCCTAACAATGGGTAGCTGTTATCAAAGCCCCCCACATTAGCTGTGGTGGTTTGTGTATGCTTGGCCCAGGGGGTGTGGCACTAATAGGAGGTGTGGCCTTGTTAGAGGAAGTGTGCATTGTGGGAGTGGGCAATGAGACCCTCCTTCTAACCATGTGGGATCCAGTCTTCTCCTAGTGGCTCTCAGATGAAGATATAGAACTCTCAGCTCCTGCACCATGGCTACCTAGATGCTGCCACAGCCCCGTCTTGAACCTGTAAGCCAGCCCCAATTAAATGTTGTCCTTATAAGAGTTGCCTTGGTCATGGTGTCTGTTCACAGCAGTAAAACCCTAACTAAGACACTAACCTTCTGGCACTTCTCATCCCTCCCTCCACTGTACTACCTCCCATGCTGTTCTGCCGTCTGCCCCCCACCCCCACCCCCTGCAACTACCTGTTCTTTGTAAAGGATGGGTTTCCCCACTTTTGCTTTACTCCCTTGTCTTCTTTCCCCACTTTTTATCCCCTCTGTTCCTAAGAGATGTCCCTGCCCAGGGCTGATTCTCTTCTTGTACTCTCTGTCCCTGAGAGGCAGCCATGGCTACTTTGAACTGACCAAGTGCCTCTGGTTATTCTCTCTTTCACATTTACAACAGAGCTTTTTCTCAGAGTGTTCCAGTCTGGTAGTTTCACTGGGCCCTGGCATATGTGTCCTTAAGACATCTATTTTAACAGCCTTGCCCCAGAACCTTAAAACACCAGGGATAGAACACTTCTTATTGACCATCTAGGACAAACTATTTTATAGATGAAGTAATTAAGGCCCAGATCACAGTTGAGGAGTGGAAAAATCAGGAAAATATTCTAGGACCAAGCTGACAGCTGTTTGCAAGTTTCTGTCCCGAGTGTAGCATCCTTGTTGATCTTGCTTTGTCCTAGGGAATGGAAAGGTATTAGGACCCAGCAACATCTTTGCAGCCACTGGTTAGGCCGGCAGTTGCTCTAAGTCAATTGACTTAGAAGGTAGAATGACTTCTACTGTGATGCTTAAAGGGAAGGGCAGGAGGCAGGTGCCGTGCCCTTGGGCATTGGCGGCAAAAGTAAGATTCCTAAGTGAGCTTTCTGTGTGCACAGGAGAAGCCCCGACAGGCCTTTAAACCCTTACACCTTCCTGTTTGCCTGAAAGTGTGTCCTGGCCACTAACTAGTCCTCCTTTCTGTTGAAGGGAGGAAGATGTAGTGACCAGGACCTCTGAGCACAGTGTACTGGCTTGCTGGAGGTTGGCCATCTGTGTCTGGGCTGCTGTGTAGTCCTGCTTGTTAACAGGGGAGCCGTGTCAGGAGATGTTGAGCTAGGGCCATGCTTGGATTTTTGTTGTTGTTGTTGTTGTTGTTGTTGTTGTTGTTGTTGTTTGAGAGAGAGAGAGAGAGAGAGAGAGAGAGAGAGAGAGAGAGAACTCGAGAGAGAGTGCTGAACATTTCATGTGAGACCTGAAAAGTTAAGCTTTGTTTGTGGTTCTAGAAACCCTAACCCAAACCGAGTCTCTACCCTTCGCTCATCTGTATAAGGTACGGTTGTTTATATGGAGCATCCTTTGTTTCCTGCCAAGTGACTCACTTGTACTGAGTCACCAGAAAGTGGGTCTAGGCCCATCTGCCGCTGCCCTGGACATTATGATCTGACTGCTCCCCTGGAGGTGGGTCATGGAGGCTTGGAGACAGAGAGAGGCAGAGCCATGGGGAGAGAGACAAGCCTGTTTCCTGAACATTTGGTAAACAGACAAAGGACCCTAGCGCATCTGAGAGCATCCCAAGGGATCTGTGGTTTTCGTTTCGGAGGAGACATTGTCTGAGTTATTGACAACTCTAAATTATGAAGTAAGCATGAAGCCACATTCAATAAGAAATTCTTTCATTGTTGGTTCTCTTAGGAACTCTTAAGCAAGTTATTTCTCCCATTTTGAGCTGCTCTTTCTTCACTTACAAATAAAAGAGATTTGGGTCCTAAAATCTGGACATTATATCATTTGTATCATTTGTCTTCTGGGAAGGAAGGGAATAGGGACACACACACACAGAATTTTACTTACCAAGCAAATTTATTGGCACTCATTTCAACTTTAGTATGGGCTGCATTTTTTAATGTTTAATTTGCAAATTGCTGTCCTTTTCCTGGCTATGGGTTTTCCCTTGCCCCAGCCTGGGTTCAGCTTTCTCTTTCCTGTGGCCTCTTTGGGTGTCTCAGCAGCGACATCTCTGAAGAACGATGGTGTAAGCCAAAGACAGCGTGGGAAGGAAATCAGGCTTGTGAGTCTTAAAGAAGATGAGAGTTCCCGCCCTGACTGAAGCAAGCTTCTCTCTAGCACTGGGGACCCAAAAGGGCAGCGGTGGGTTGGGGCCTCTTCAGATCTTTAAGGACAATGCTGGTCCACGGTACGGAACAGGGTCTGGGCTTCACTTCTCTGTCTTTTGAAAGCACTCTGTATACCCATTCACCTGATGTCAACTACATTGCCAAGATCTACTTTTCACAGACCTACTGTGTGGCTAAGGAACTGGGAAAGTGCTCCCCGCCCCCTAATTCCATTTCTCCAAAAGCCAAAATGATGCTCCAGGGTGTGGGCCCTGTGACAAAAGTTGCAGGGGGCTCCATGAGTTCACCCAGGGGTTTCGTGAGCTCACCGGGGAGACCCAGACCGCCCCCGCCCTCTTCCTGCCCTCTCCCCGCCCCCGGGCCCTCGCGCGGGGCGGGTGATGTCAACCGAGGAGGAGCCGCCCGCCTCGCGACCCGCTCGGGCTGATTGGCGTGTGGCAGCACCGGGGCCGCCTCCGCCCTCCCGCGGCTCGCACAACTTTTGCGGCTGAGAGCGCGCTCGCACCCTGCTCCTCTCGCCGCCGCCCTCGGCCCGGCGCCCGGCATGTGAGCGCGGGCGGCCGCCGCCACCATGGCCACGCCGCGCGCCCCGCGGTGGCCGCCACCGTCGCTGCTGCTACCGCTGCTCTTGCTGCTGCTGCCACCCGCCGCCCCCGGGGCGCGGGGCCCCATTCCCTCTCCGGCCCACCGTACACTCCTCCCGGCCGCGGAGCTTCTTTCGCCTCCTGGCGCCGGACACGCGGCCCCCGGGCCGGGCGTCGCGACCCGGCGAGGACGTTCCGGCCGTGTCCCCAGAGGCGTGAGCGCGGGTGAGTGAGAGCCTCCAGCGTGGGGCAGGGGGCGTGGGCGCTCTGGGGCTGCCCCATCCCGGCCGCGGCTCCGTGGACCCTCGAGGGCAGAACCCTGAGGGTGGCCCAGGACGAAGAAACACTGTCCCTGGCCTCTGGAATATAGTGTTCACATGCGTTCCCAGCCTGAGCTTTGTAAGAAAACTCTCTCCTGGGGTAGCCCACACCCTTCTCCCTTTTACAAAAAGAAGACCCTAAAGAGCCTCTCCCATCTCGTGGGGTGTGGTGGTAACTTCTGGCTGCTGTCTTTCCGTTTCAGCCCCCCATCCACCAGTCTCCAGATGGAGAACTAACTGGTCTCTCCTGGTCTAGAGCCTGACTTTCCACTATAAGTAAATAACGGATTTCGGAGTTTGAAAGGCTTCTAGTACTTAGGACATCATAAAGGACAAAGAGTGCGATTTAAAACAAAATGAGCTACCTAGTCAACCTTAGGAGCGGGGGTACTTGGGATGGGGTTGTGGGGCTGCAAGGTCAAATCCTGCAAGACACTGGCTGGCTCTGGACTGTCCTGGGGCCCCTTTCTCCCCAGCCAGCTGCTTGCTGTACAAGCAGCCACTCACTGCCTGTCCTGGGGGACTCAGCTCCTGTGCCTGCCGCCTTTGTTTGTGGTTCCTTTTTCTGCTGGAAGAAAAGCCCCCCGGCCTGGGTGGGATTTTAATGTAACGCCCATGTGACCTTGGCTGTGTCTCGTCTTTGCCTCTCAGTTTCCCCATCTGTGGAATGGAAGGGCCCCACTCCTCCTAGCCTCTGAGTGACAAGAGGTGACAAAATGAAAGTAAAAATAATAGAAAGTGCTGTGAACCAAACTGGCCTAGGTGATGTCAGCCGTTTGTCTTCCCATGAGAGGCAAAGGGCACACACCGGGCTCTGTTGCTGCCACACTGCTGGGATTGCCAAGATTTTGTCCAGTTTCCTGTCTGTCTGTCTGTCTGTCTGTCTGTCTGTCTGTCTGTCTGTCATGTTTCACAAACTTTCTCCCAATTTGCTCATCCTTAGAATTGAGTAAGAGAAACTTTTCTATCCTTAAAGCCTCAGTTGAACAGTAATCTCCCCTCTGCAGACTGCCTTGATCTTGTGAACTTCTGAGTCACTGGTCCAAGACAGAGAGGGAAACTGAGGAGGGGTGAGCAAAGAGAGAGGAAAGCCACTCTGAAGGTCCTTACAGACACATGCTGTACAGCCCTGGCTTCCTTGATGACTGATTTTCAGAGAAAGGAATTAAGAACTTAGAAGACATTTACTGACTCTCCTAGTGTAGGAAAATAACTGAGAGATATGGGAGGGCATTTGGGGGCTGTTCTAGATACTGTGTTGTGTAAGGAACTGATAACTCGACAGCCACCGGGGAACCCAAGGCAGGTGTCACTAAGTGATACTCAGGCTGAGGGCTCCATCTTGTGAGGGGCTTGAAGGGATTGGGGATGTTGAGCTCCAGCTTGACCTGACACAGGACTTTCCTTCCTATGGTGGGGAATCTCACAGGCTCACACAGGGGTGTGTGTAGTGTAGGGCTATAGTACCACCTGAGTTAGGGGGAAATGAGGTAAGAATTGGGGCCTTAAGACAGCCGGGCTTTCAGGCTTTCTTCATGGCCATGGTGCTGGAACCTCTCTGTTTCGTTCATTTGGGAGAAAGCAGGATAGAGGATTCAGGCAGAGGAAGAACCCAGGAAGGAATGAGAATAATCCAGACTTTCTTTCTTTCTTTTTTTTTTTTTTTCTGTTCCCCTAAGGCCCAGTCTGAGGCAGGAGTGTTTGAAAGGTAAAGTTAGAAGAGGCGCACTCTAGGACCTGTTGAGACCTGTTAGAAGTCACCAGTATGGTTGAAGATCCAGGCACTGTCTCTTGGGTTTCTGTTAGTTCTTCAAACGATGTCACTTAGAAAAAGAAAACAGCAAACAAACTACAACACAACAGTAGTCAGCAGCCTCGGGGAGCTGGAGTTTTGTAGTAACCTCCTAAGATTTTCCTGGCCCACTTTGATTGGCCACACTGCTAGGGCCTCAGGTCTGTAGAAATCCTTTGTGGTCCTTTGCAAACATCCAGCCTCCTGGGTACCTGGGAAGATGGTCACCCATACTCTGCATCCACATTTTTTCCGTTTAGGGAGGTGGGTGTTCCTGATGGTGATGAACCTGAGTCTCATGAATAATACTCGTAAGCTGACAGTTGAGGAAACTGCCCTGAGCCACTTCTTCTGAGGGTTTTGGTGGCCAGTGCCTGGTCATCATGGTCTGGGCTCCCAAATATTCCCCCATGAGTAGCAGAGACTTAGTTATTCCCAGAGGGTCCTTCTAGTTCCTCTCTCCCCAGAGAGTTCAAGGTTCTCACTGCTGGGTGGCTGTGTTTGCATTCCATTTGTGGACTGTTTGCCTATGTCACACTGTCCTTGGAGGAGAGCTGCCCCCTGTTTGTATAGCCATTGTTTGGCTTTTGTGACCCACCTGTCACCCTGTTCCGCTGTGTTTGCTGCTTCAGCCATCAATGAAAAGAGTCCAAGAGCTAGAGATTTCCTCTCTCTGTCGGCTTTCCTACAACCGAGAGTCTCCCAGAGCCATAGCTCCGAGCTGAGAACTAAGTGTAATTTTTCAGTCCATGGGCCATGCTCTCATTCTGAGAGCTGCAGAGGGGAGAGAGGGCAGGAAGGTGGGAAAGAGGCTAGACTCAGAAAGAGAATCCTCGCAAGAACTTCCCCACCCGAAGGGGAAATGGTGCTGCCTAGTTAAATTAAGCAGCCAGTCCAAGGAATAATAATCTTACAAAAATGTGGTTCCCTAAAGGAAAAGAGCTGTGAGCCCAGACCCTTTTGAGCTGTTAAATGTTGGTCCTTAATTGCTCTAACTTTGTAGCCCGACTTCATCATTTAGCTTGGCTGCCACGGTACCACTGTGAGAGGCTATGAAGGCTGACTGGGGAAGAGAATGTGACCCTACTGGCTGAGGCTGAGATGTATTCTGGGCATCTAGAAGCCTGCTTCTCTGACAGAGGTTGTTACAAGCAGAGAGAGGGACTTGGTGTGTGGCGTGCTGAAAAGGCACATCCTTTTAGCCTTGTCTCTCTCCTGGTGCGTGCAGATGCTAAGCTCATGTTTTCTGCTCACCAGCCGACTTGTGTGGACAAGGGGAGACTTCACTGTGCCTATGGCAGCTGGGAAGTTGCCACCTCCTAGACCCAGGAGCAAGGCAGGAGCCTCTGCCTTCCAGTGATCTCTGTTTCCACTGGCGCTGGCCAGGTGTCCAAGAGTATCCTTATTCAGGGTCGGAAAGAAGGAGGCAGCTGATGGCAGTAGTTGTGTTCTTAGCTACTCCTTATCTTCTTCAGCATCTTCCCTCTGCCCCAGCATCTTCTTTGTATGAGCAAGACACTTGAACTTTGAAGAATCCTGAGGAGGCAGCAACAGGGAAAGCAAAACTAACTGACATCCCTCTTAGAACTCCTAGTCTTTGAGCACCTATGTGTGGTCAGTGCCTGTATGATTTTTACCCCATTTCACCCTCAAAGTCTTGCCAGGGGTATTGCTTCTCATTTAATCTCCCTTTATGGGAGATAAAGCCTAGCAAGGTAAGGTCTCAGGGAAAGGAAGGAAACTGGATATAAGCCAATTTCAATCAAATTCATTAACCCATCCCACCATGGTACAAGATCTGTGTTTCTCATCTGTAGGACAAGACAACCTTGCTGTGGACCCTTAGGGCCCTCTCCAGCTCACCACCCTTCCATGAAGTTGGGGGCCATGGTTAGAATGAGGTGACAATCAAGATGCTGACAGGAGAGGGTTTTTTTTTTTTCCCCAGAAATAATTTCTAAAGGTGGAGAGATGGCTCAGTGGTTAGGATCACTGGCTACTCTTTCAGAGGACCTGGGTTCAATTCTCAGCACCCACATGGTGGCTCACAACTGTCTGTAACTCTGGTTCCCAAGGGATTTGACACCCTCAAAAGACATAATACAAGCCAAACATCAATTCACATAAAACAAAAACACACAAAAATAATTTTAAAATTATTTTTATTTGTGTGTGTGTGTGTGTGTGTGTGTGTGGATGCCTGCATGTGAGTGAGTGCAGGTGCCTGTGGAGGCCAGAGGCATCAGATCCTCTGAACTGGAGTTATAGGTGGTTGTAAGCTGACCAATGTGGCTTTTGGGAACAGAAATCAGGGCCTCTGAAAGAACATTGTACACTTTGAACCTCTGAGCCATCTCTCCAGCCCCAAGAGGGAAGATATTAAGATTATTTTTAGGAGCAGGGGGATTGCCCATGAGAGTACTTAACTCTATAGATGTATCGAATGATGTTTTATATTGTTATTATAATGTATACATACCTGTAGATATGCCAATCCATAGGTTACGGGTGCCTGAAGGAGCTCATTCATTTTCACTGATCTGAAGTGTTGGCTTTCTGTGGGCTCTGGGCTGGGACCATGGGACAGTGACTAACATTGGCAGTTGTCAGTTGCTCTCAGCACCTGCTCTGTGGAATGAAAACACATTCAGACGTCCTCCTGCCACTTCCATTTTAACATCTCTGCAACTCATTCGTTTTCCCATAGATGTAAACAAAGAGACTCTGTGCTGTCTTTTCTCCCCTTCTTTTGTCAGAGTATGACAGATGTCTCCCTGCTCCTAAAAAAATCCTAAAAATTCTACTCTCTCTGGACTGGGAATATGGCTCAGTGGCTCCGAGTGCATATGGCTTCTTCAGAGGACCTGGGTTTAGTTCCCAGAATCTCACTGGACAAGCTCACAACTATTGTCACTTCAGCTGCACAGGACCATCCGTTATAATGCTTCTGGGCTCCACAATCACCCACACTCACATGCACACACACACACACAAACACACACACACACACACACACACACATACACACACACATGCACATGCCTAATTTTAAAATTATTTTGTTTAAAAAAAAAAACTCTCCTCTGTGGTTATCGGCATCTTGGTTACCATCT